AAATGCCATAACTAACTATTCTTGTGGTCGACAACTGTTTTCAGGCATCGTACCTCACTTGAACTGATCATGGTCTTAAATGTACTATTCTTCGATAGAGGTGATTTTAAGACCAAATTGTTTTGGGTGTCGAACAATTCTAACACTCTATCTTTCATAACAACTGAGAAACCTTTTTCAACCAGTTGTCCCATACTTAGCAGATTACACTTCATTCTAGGTACATAGAGTACATCTTTGATCATAGCTTTCGCTCTATTTCTCCTTTGAATAACTATATTGTCAGTACATTCTGCTTGCAACGAGCTATTATCTATAAGTTTGACGCTTCTCTTCTTCGGCTCGTCAAAATTTGCCAACCGCACCTTTTGATCAGTTATGTGATTTGAGTAGTTTGAGTCGAGGAACCATATCTTGGAGTCAACATGGTCATCTGCAACTCCAGCCATAACCATCATATCATCATAATCATCTTAATCTTGACGTGCAAGGTTCACTCCTTCGTCATTTCCTTTTGTCACTCCCTTGTCTTTCCTGTACCAATAAGTTTTAGCCAAGTGACCCCATTTTTCACAGTTATAACACTCCACACATTTTTTCTCTTCTTTGTCTTTCTGATAGGTGTTTCCTTCTCCTCTTTTCGAGGATTCAAAAGCCCTATCATCGACCTTGTGCTTGTGAAGTTTTGACCCAGACTTCTTACTTTAAGTCTTATCCCCTTTGCCTTTGAACTTGTTGGAACCACCATGCTTCTTCCATGCCCGAGCATATAAATCTTGTATCAAATATTGAACCCCTTTCCTTTTGATAATCCTAATCTCATGCGCCTCCAACAAACTAACCAAATCTTCCAATTTTAGGGTTTTATGATTGTTGTATTCTTTAATAGCTACAATAATGTGATTAAAGTGAGAGGTCAACGTACACATTACCTTCACAAATATCATTTTATCAGTTAGGGTTTCACCACAACCCTTCATGAAATGGACAAGATTCTGCACCTTCAACACATAGTCTGCAATCTTTTCATCTTCTCTCATCTGCAATTGTTCATATTGTCATCGTAAAGTCTGCAATTTGACGAATTTTACTTTCTCACCTATTTCATAGTACTTGACAAAAATATCCCATGCCTTCTTCGTCGATTCAACATGAGAGATCTTGTCAAAATTCACCAAATCTACCACCGATTGAATAAAATACACATGTGAGTGCATTATCCTTTTAGATGTTTTGAATTATGTCAAAACTAGGACTTAGTATTTGTACATTGGATCTTAGTCTATTATCTAGATGTGATTTTTCATACAAGAAAACTTAAAATCATGTTAGAGATGTTTTACATGTTAAAAATCAATTTTTCATGTGAATAACTAGCCTATGTGTTAACACATAAGGTTTTCAGGTCTACACATAAAAGCTTATGTTCAGTATGTGTCAACACATAAGATTTTCAGATCGACACATAGTCTGTAAATTTTCTCTATAGGTCAACACATCCGTATTTCAGGTCGACACATGCTGAACCAATTTTGAAAAATTATATTCTGCTCAGTATGTGTCAACACATATGTGTTACAGGTCGACACATACTTCTATGGGTTGACACATATGAGCCACAGGTCGATACATGATGTATGTTTTCAAAACCATGAGTTTTTGTTCAGCATAGATCGACACATACGACTTTCAAGTCAACACATAGCAGTAAATTTTTTACTATGTGTCGAGACATAACTGGCTCTGATCGAGACATAATGTTATTTTTCAAAAACATGTAAAAAATCTCTAATCTGTTTTTTTTTTGTTTCTCACTTAACACACATCATATAAATAACATTCATGCATCTTTTCTCAATTATTGAAACCAGAAATATATAAAGCATTTCTCATCAACTTCAACCTCTCTCAAAGTATACACACAACAATTACACATAATCATGTTTGTTGGGTGCCATCTAGATTTAGGTCGATAATTTCCAATTTAGGATTGTTGTAATCAAATTGGGTTGATAATTCTTTGGGGGGTTCAAGATAAAACTATTAGGGGTTTTCTTCCAAGATCAAGGATTGATTTGAGAGTTTTTCACAAGATTGCGTAATTTGGATTCGGCCGAGTAAAAGCTTTAAAGAAAGGGGGTTCTGTCAAAGGAGTAATGATAACCGATGGTTCACTTTGGTAATCCCGAGTTACAATACATTCGCAATTTAGATTCAGTCGAGTGAAAGCTTTGAAGAACGAGAGTTCTGTCAAAGAAGTAGCGGTAACCAGAGGATCAAATTGAAAGTATTGAGTTACTTGATCGATCTCTAATTAAGAGGAGAGAAGAAGATATAATCAACATAAAACATAGGGTTTGGAGGGTTGGATTTCTACTTTTTCTCTTGTAAACTATATTTGCAAAGGTTAATTTTCATTATCTAAATTCCATTGGAATTGGGGGCAGACGTACCCAGAGCGAGGCCGATTGTGGAACTACCTAAACAAATCCTTTTGTATGTGTGTGTGTGTCTCTCTCCCTCTCTCTCTCTCTCTCTCTCTCTCTCTCTCTCTCTCTCTCTCTCTCTCTCTCTCTCTCTCTCTCTCTCTCTCTCTCTCTCTCTCTCTTACATTTACTTGCAAATTGTGAAACTATTGACTGTGAAATCGATACAAAGAGATAAATTCTTTGTCTAATACTTCAAACTGTTTTGTTGAGTTGATGCTTATGTGATTTTAATTGATTTATCATATCAACAAAATTAAAGAAAAACATGGTTTGAATTAATTGCACACCAAGTGTTCGACAAATTGCTTAAGTCAATTTTTATTTGATATTTCATTGAAAATCGATTACTATTGTGTGATAGTATTCAAACGTGGTTACTGAAAATATATTGATTGTTTTTCTCATCTTGTGTATCCGTTCTATCGGTTTAACGCATATCCTATCTTTTTGATAATGGTTCGGGATAGACGATTGTCGATCCGAGATTGTTTTCGCACGCTGTAGTTTAAATATTTTTAAAACATATTTTTAAATAAGAAAATTTCATTTGCGATCTTTTCACCCCTCTCTAGATCGTAGCCTATCGTTTAACAACACAACCTTACAATCCTTCTTCTCGGAATCCTTGTGGGCGGTTCTCTGTGCGTTAGTTGCATCCTCGGCATGCGCGGGAACTCCATTAGTGACCACTTCTAGGGTTTCATGAAAGTTAAACAAAGATTGCATTTGTTTTCTCCAACGGATTCAATTCTTGTCGTCAAGAGTTGGAAGAGAATTCTGGATGTCATTAGTACCATTCATCTTTGCAGCGATTGATTCACGTTCCCTGGAAACACGACCACCAACGTGAAGTTCTTGAAAACACGATCAAGAACACGAACTATAAGCTCTAAATACCAAGTTGTTAGAGCGTGAGACACTTTTAGTGAGAAAAGAAAGAGAGAGAATAAAGAAATAAGGATTATATTATTGAATTATGAAAACTGATTTATAATATGTCTACTTATATACAACTAACTTGTCTATTAAGTAACTAACAAACCCTAATTAACTTGGACTTATGTTTGAATTACTTAATTTGAATTATATCGCTGCATCATCATTTTATCTATATGAGCTCAACTTATCTATAAAGTGAACGAACGAACATCCCATATAATCTATATGGTCTAGGATTTGAACCTTACAAACTATTTAACTCTTTTTTCATAGGTTGCTTTCTTAGATAATCCATGAGATATCTTATCTGATTAGGCTACTTAAAGCCCATGACAACATAATTTATTTTCCCAAATAAAAATAAGTTTAATTACACGTTTAACCCCAAATACCATGATTATGCGACTTCTATGATGAGAATTTGACATCAATGACACCATGATTTCACTATGAGAGTGGTGGGTGCCTCATTTCCATTTAAGAATCAGATCCATTTCCACAATATTCCACTTTGTAAATGGACACACAGAGAGAGAAAGTAACATAAGGCCACATATCCAAACCATCACATTCACATCACGAGATGGTTTTGTTATTGTTGTTTCCTTTTTAATTATTATAAATTCACAAGATTGATGTGTTGTGTATACACTTTACAGCGACAATTATCTTCATTACATACAAATTTCCCACATAACTAATACATACACTCATAAACACTCTGACAATCAAATCAATGTATAATCTAATATATCTCTGTAGCTTATTAGAGATGATCTAGTTTATGTATAATCTAATATATCTTTGTAGCTTATTAGAAATGATCTAATTTATTAGTTGGATTAGACTTGTCCCGATCCAACACTCAAAAAATAAACGATAAAGAAAAAAAAAATAGAACCAAAAGAAATAAAAAAAATGAAAAGTACAAAAGGACAGACACATAGAATATCCTATTGATTGAGCAACAAAAACATCCTATTTTTAATGGACAACATTTTTCAACACCAATAACTATTAGATAAACCTTAATTTTTTCTTCACATTTATTATCTTTTTTTTGTTTTCATATTGTTTTCTCCATTTTTCTTTAGTGCCTTAACCATTTTCTCCATAATGCTTATTAACCTCTTTCTCTATTCCAACTTTTGGTTCCTTCTCCATCTACTATTGTTGGCCACAGGTTAAAGTTCATCTTTTTATTCTTAAATTGAACCAACTTTCACTTTTTCCTGCACCCTTTTGCTGCTTTTTATAGAAACCACATCATATATTATTTCTGAATCTCCAAGGCATGTGTTCTTTTAGCTTCATCGAGTTACTTGACAGTTACCATGTTCCTTAAAGTTTTGTTCTTTCCATTGTTGGGGTTTTAATGTTGTTTTCTTTTTACTAGATACTTTGGTTCTTTTCTATTTACAAAATATTGCTTGTGTTTATGTTTTGCTTGGTGCTTTATGTCTTTTAAGCTTCTCAATTTGTAAGCCATTTACACACTTTGGTTTTTAAGGTTATGTTATGTTACAATCTTTATGGCTATTTTTATATAGGAAACTCATCACTCATCCCACAATGGTTAAAGTTTGGTTATTGGCTCTAATGATTCTCTACAATGGCTTCTCTTTAACTGTGTTTGGCATTCATAATTCAACAAGACCTGAATTTGTAAATATTGGAGCACTCTTCTCTTTCAATACTAGTGTTGGTAAGATTATAAAAATCGCGATCGAAGCTGCTGTTCGAGATGTAAATTCAGATCCAAGTATTCTCGGCGAGACCAAGTTGAAGCTCTCTCTTCAAGAAGATTCTAAATATAGAGGTTTTCTTAGCATTGCTGAGGGTATGTCTTTCATAATTATATGAATGCTTGTGATTTGTTGAGAGTGTAAAACTTTTTACGGAGTGGATCGAAACTAAACTACATAATAATTCTATGTAATTACAGTTTTACAGGTCATGGCTAGACACAATGTGGCAATAATTGGCCCTCATAGTTCTGTAACAGCTCATGTCATAACTCATATTGCGAACGAGCTTCAAGTTCCTCTTCTCTCGTTTTCAGCTTTAGACCCGACACTTTCTTCGCTTCAATTTCCATTCTTTATTAGAACATGTCACAGTGATCTTTTTCAAATGGCTGCAATAGCAGACCTTGTTGATTACTATGGATGGAAAGAAGTCATTGCTGTATATATTGATGATGACAATGGAAGGAACGGAATCGTTGCATTAGGCGATAAGCTTGCTGAGAGACGTTGCAGGATCTCATATAAAGCACCTGTGAGCCCCGAAGCAACTCCGGAGGAGATTACAAATGTGCTTGTTCAGGTGGCTCTTGCTGAATCAAGAATTATTGTTGTTCATGCTAACACTCTTTGGGGTCCAAAAGTGTTTAGTGTTGCGAAGAATCTTGGAATGATGGGAACTGGTTATGTATGGATAGCCACTGGTTTTCTTTCTGCTATTCTTGATATAAGTAGTCCTCTATCTTCTGATAAAATGGATGAGATCCAAGGAGTGTTGACACTGCGCGTGTACACGCCAGATTCGGAGCTTAAAAGAAAGTTTGTTTCAAAATGGAAAGACTTGACTCGTGGAAATACTGCTAATGGCCCTCTTGGACTTAGTTTTTTGTCTTTCTATGCATATGATACTATTTATGCTCTTGCTCATGCACTTGATGCATTTTTCAAGCAAGGGAACAAAATCACCTTTACAAATGATTCAAAACTACTTTCACTACATGGTGACAGCTTGAATCTCGAAGCGTTGAACGTCTTCAACGAAGGAAACACGTTACGTAAAAACATTTATGGGGTTAACATGACTGGTGTGACAGGCTTGTTCAAGTATGCACCTGATGGAAACCTTGTTAATCCTGCATATGAAATCATCAATGTGATTGGAACCGGGTCACGGAGGATTGGTTATTGGTCTAATCACTCTGGATTATCGACCGTTCCTCCAGAAACAATTCTTCCCAAACCAGGAAACAATTTCAGGGAAAGCAAAAAGCTACTCCCTGTGATGTGGCCTGGTGACATAGACCAGAAGCCTCGCGGTTGGGTTTTTCCGAACAACGGAAGGCTATTAAGAATTGGAGTACCGAAAGGCGTTAGTTATCGCCAATTTGTGTCACAAGTACCAGGCTCTGATACATTTCAAGGTTTCTGCATTGATGTGTTTCTCTCTGCAGTTAACCTTTTGCCTTATGCTGTCCCTTACAAGTTTATTCCATATGGAGATGGTAAGAACAATCCTAGTAACACAGAGCTTGTCCGTCTAATAACAACAGGCGTGAGTATCATCATCTCAATAGTCTTTTGTAGAGTTTGGATGTTTTTTATGGTAATCTTATGAGATCAGTTTTCAAATTTTCATACAGGAATTTGACGGTGCAGTAGGTGACATTGCAATTACTACAGAAAGAACAAAAATGGTGGATTTTACTCAGCCATATGTTGAGTCTGGTTTAGTGGTAGTAGCTCCTGTTAGGGAGTCTGAAACAAGTGCTTTGGCCTTTTTGGCTCCATTTACACCAAGAATGTGGTTTGTCACAGCTTTGTTTTTCATAATAGTTGGAACTGTTGTTTGGATTTTGGAGCATAGGGTGAATGATGAATTTAGAGGACCACCTAGAAAACAATTGACTACTATTTTTTGGTAAGTAAATTTGCTACATTGAGCCTCTTTTAAAGCCAAACCAATGTTGATCGTTGTGTTATCGTGAGTTTACGACTTTTGTTTGTGTTGTATTTGGCAGGTTTAGCTTTTCAACAATGTTCTTTTCACATAGTAAGTTCAAATTCTCTGTCTTCTATGACATATATAGTAGAATTTTTAACTTCTCTTTGATTAATCCAGTTGCATTTTTCTGAACTATGTAGGGGAAAATACAGTGAGCACGCTCGGTCGTTGCGTGCTACTTATATGGTTATTTGTAGTTCTCATTATTACTTCAAGTTACACAGCAAGTCTAACATCAATCCTCACTGTACAACAACTGTCTTCACCAATTAAGGGCATTGAAAGTTTAGTAAATATGAAAGAACCAATTGGTTACAGTCAAGGCTCATTTTCTAAAGATTATTTGATCCAAGAAATCGGTATTGATGAGTCTAGGCTTGTTCCTTTAATAACACCGGAAGAAGTTACTAGAGCACTGACAAAAGGTCCTCAAGATGGTGGTGTTGCTGCTTACATCGATCAACGTGCATATATTGACATCTTCCTTTCAAGCCGGTGTCAGTTTACTGTTGTAGGTCAAGAGTTCACCCGAAACGGCTGGGGATTTGTAAGTATCTTTCGAGTTTTCTTAGCAATATCTCGCGATAAAATTAGCTGCTAAGCGTTTCTAAGTGATGATTGTGGGTTTGAATAATATAATCACTGTCTAGTATTATTTTTCAGGCCTTTCCAAGAGACTCACCATTAGCAGTTGACCTATCAACTGCCATTTTGCAAATGGTAGACAATGGAGACTTACAAAGAATCCATGACAAGTGGCTTTTGAGTAGAGCTTGTTTAACACAGGGTGCAAAGTTTGAAGTTGAAAGACTCAAACTAAAAAGCTTTTGGGGCCTCTATGTGATATGTGGATCAGCTTGTTTGCTTGCTCTACTCATCTATATAATACAGATAATAAGACAGTACATGAAGCACCACTCAGAAGAACTTGATTCTCCTGGCCAAAACTCTGCCTCGGGATCAACTTGTTTGAGGAGTTTCCTCTCCTTTGTGGATGAAAAAGAAGAGAATGTTAAAAACCGTTCCAAGAGAAAGAAAATGGAGAGAATCTCTTATAGAAGTAGTGAGGGAGGATCAATCTCCATCAGTTCCAATAAAGATTATGTTGCTCAGTCATCTTCATGCATAGCTGATTCTGTTTCTAATGGTGGAACTGAACAAGTACTTATCAAAGTAGTGTAAGTATGATCAATCTACAATATTGAAAAGAAAAAAAGTACATTGCATGGGAAGTGAAAAAGTTAAACTGCACCAACTATGCAAGTAGAATATATAATATACTAATTGCTAGGAACCATCTCCATCTTTACCATTGCAAACTGATATTGCAGTAAGTATCATTGAATGTCAGATTTCAGAAATGATATTATTACAGTAACTTTGTAAAGATGTTGATGACAAGAGTTACAAGAAATTAATTCTAATATTCTCTAAGAAAAGTTTCTAATTTTACTACTTATTTTTTTCACACAACCCACTACAAGATCTTAAGAGAAATCAATATTGAAAGTTTGCATCCTTCTTTCAATAAATTTGAATCAGAGTCTTTGTTCTGATTAAATCATTAAATTTGAATCAGTTTGATGCATAATAATATTTATATCATGATACATTTAAAAATCGTATGAAGATGGTTGATTAAACGGTTTTAAAATCGTGACATTTTATATGATTTGAATATCATTGTAACATTAGATTTAATGGAATATGGTTTATGATAGATTTTAATGGTGGGAACCTAATAAGAATCATTTGAATGACCAAGTAAGAGTTTGTTTTGAAATTCAAATTATGCTATCAACAAAAGGAGGTCTAGATCGGGCCCGAGGAACTCTACTTCACCAAACTAGACACTTCCATGACGAAAGTCGGTGAGGAGGATATGGTCGTCCTGTACCAAAATAACATTAATTTATTTGGCTGCACTCTCTTTGATGTGTCAGAAATTGACATTAGAGTTGTATGTCACTGCTTCACCATTAATCCTACAGTGAAGTCAATGACGCAAAGAAAGTGTAAGGTCAAGGAGGTGAAATGAGCCGCCATCGACCAAGAAATAAAGAATTTGACGGAAGTGGGTTTCATAATAGAAATCAAATATCCAACTTGGTTAAAAAATGTAGTGTTAGTTCGTGAATCGTCCCAGAAATGTCAAATGTGTGTAGACTTTCATGAGTTAAACCTGACGTGTCCTAAAGACCTATATTTGTTACCAACAATCGAAAATTAATTGACAGATATTTAGGATACAAGACTATGAGCTTCATGGATGCCTATTCTGGCTAAAACCATATAAAAATGGACCCCTAGCCGCGCCCAAGACAACATTCATGTCAAATCATTGTAATTATTACTATAATTTTATATTTTTCAGAATAAAAACCACAGGCGCCACTTGCCAGTGGTTGATGGATGTAGTGTTCTCCGATCAAATAGATTGTACTTTGAAAGTACACATTGATGACATGGTCGTAAAGGCCCTAGATGAAGGAAGTCATTGGAATGACTCAAAAGAAATCCTGAGGTCATTCATGATGTACAACATACGTCTGAACCTCGCCAAATTCTCTTTTTAAGTTCAGGCAAGAAAATTCTTGAGATTCATGATGATCCGAAGAAGGATAGAGGAGAACCCCATAAAATTATAGGTCATCATTAAGATAAAAAGACCACCATAGTGAAGGAGGTTCAACAACTGACAAGACGCTTGACGGTCCTATATAGGTTTCTTTCATGTGCAAGAGACACAAATTTTCACTTTTTTCCACCTTACACAAATTTTCACTTTTTTCCACCTTGAAGAAGAAGAGAAATTTGAATGGACAAATGATTGCAACGAGGCGTTGGTAGTGTTAAAAACGATTGAGTTTCAAGCGTAAAAGTTGTGCAAAGTTCCACATCGTCTAGGAATGGAGGTAGGGATGTCAATTTGCATCTGTTAACGAGGATCTTTGTGGAGATTATCTGTTCGAGGCACTGAAGTTGAGGATTTTTCCCCCCGCGGAGATGGAGATGGAGAGAAAAGTTCTCCCGATGACACTTTGAGACAGAAATTGGGAAAGTATCCCTTGCCATGTGGATTTTCCGACTCCGACCATATTATTTATATTTTATATATTATATAATATATAAGAGTCATTAGTGGATCATTTTATTTTTATGTTTATTGTATAATATATTGTTTCACTTCCCAAGTATCCTACCTTAGAAAAGTGCACCAAATACATAAAATGTACACAATCTCCTCTTTTTATTTTTTCAATTATCTTTGTCTCCTCCACTCATCATCTTCTCGGTTCTCATCATCACAACCACTCTCATTTGTTCATTGTGCTTATGATGATTACTCTTCAAATTCACTTTACTTCCATTAGTAACATGTTTTTTATTCAATTAGTAAATTAATAGTTATGAATTTGTCACACTCACACACAATCAACCACTTGCGCTTGACAACGGCGGTACTATGGTAATAAATTAGTGGAAGCATGGTAGCAACAAGTTATGTTAATATTTATTATTTTTTTTAGAAAAAAATATTATCAACTAGAAGTGTTTTTTATTTTTTTTAGTTACTGATGCAAGACGTATTTTTATTTTTTTTTAAAAGAAAGATGCTAAATATGTGTGTTTTTAAAGGAAAAAATAACAAAATATTAGTGTCATAGTTTTGATAGAAAAGTATAAATTTTTTCTTAAGATTCAATCTCCGTGGATCTCCGCGGGGATCTGTGAGAATGGAAATGATGGAAAATATTCCCTCGTGGTGAGGATTGAGGACGGGGATGGGGCGGAGAGCGGGGAAGCATCCTCTGAACATTCACTGCCTCGTTGATATCTTTAAATGGAGGAAATACTGAATTTATAAGAGAAGTGACGCATACCTCATTGCCTTAAGATTTTGGATGGATATGTGGTGTCAATGTCTCTTGTAACCATAAACGCTTGACAAATTGACACTTTCAGACCTCGCTCCACGGACTTCCCCAACAAAAACTTTTTTGTCAACCTTGTCGATATTAACACGTCCAGAAGAGGGTGTGTCAGTATACTTATATTAGTCAATAACTGACAAGGTGATGAGATATTTATTAGTCTAAAAAAGGATAACATTGTCAGTCACTCTACTTCTGCAAGGTGTTCAATAACTCGAAGATGAGGTATAAGAAGATAGCAAGATTAGCATTGGCGATCGTGATAATAGCAAGGAAGCTAAGATCCTAAGTTCAAAGGCACCACATGATGGTAAAGACGAATTACTCAATCTATTAAATATTAAAAAATCCATATCTTGGTCAGTAGAGGTATCAGAAAATTACACCAAATTTGTACCAATAGGCAACACAAAATCTCATGTACTAGGGGATTCTTAGTAGAGTTCAATTTTCTAGTGGACAAGGAGGTTCCATGCATATAGACTTTATTAGTAGACGGTACCTTAAACCTAAGGACAGTGGCATCAGGTAGTACTTGAAGGCTAAAAAAAAACATTCTTATATAAATCCTTAAGGTTCGAGTTCAATTCCAATAATAACTAAGTTGGATATAAAATGAACCTCGCCATATAAATCTGTGCTTCAAATATTATAGTACAAAGAGATTATCAATCGATTGTCAATTAAGTCACTGATGGGTATCAAACGAAAGATACTTAGCTCATCGAATACCTCCATAGAGTAAATGACTTAGCTAAATATTTAAAACTCTTCAAAATAGTATCAGTATCTAGATATATAGTAGGACGTTCGAGCGGACCTGTTTTCAAATCTTGCCATCACCAAGAAGTCGGAGAACAACATCACAGTTATATATGAGACCTTAGTCGTTCCCAACACAGAAAAGGAGAAAGTCAATGCCATAGGATTAGCTGACTCCCTAAACTGGATGACCCCGTATCATTTACAGGTTTGGTTTGTCAAGGAGTATTGTTTTAGATAACTAAACTCAGTGTTAACTCAACTATTGTGAAATTCTACCACAAGCTGGGAATTCAAATGAAGTTCGTTTTTGTTTTCCACCTGCGGACAAATGGGCAGACTAAATCGACCATCAAAATAATCCTCCATAAAATAGAAAAGAAGTTAGATGTATGTTGGAGGAACAATCCTTACAATATATAGATTATCAAAACTCATTTTGAATTAATAACAGAGGTGATATAATTGACAAGAGATCATAATCAATTTTTTTATTTTGGAATTTGCAATAAAAAAGAAATATATTGGTTAACACAAGAGAATGAATGTCATGCCATGTCATGTAATACTCGATTTTCTAATACAGTATTTAAGCATTATACAAACTATTATATTATGAATTCTAAATGAGAATGAAATGTTTTGTCAAAAAAAAAAAAGAAAGAGAATGAAATGCACATCAAAATAAACATAAATGAGTTTTTTAATAATAATAATAATAATAATAATAATAATAATAATAATAATAATAATAATAATAATAATAATAATAATAATAATAATAATAATAATAATAATAATAGTTTTACATAAGACTCTGGGTTGTAAATGTGCATGTCAATATTTAGCTTATAATTAAAATTTAAAAAAATTAGTTATTTTACCTATCTTAAAGGATAATTGCAATACTTTCTTTACTTTCATAATATTAACAACAATATATAATTGCGAAAAACAATGTATAATAGATTTTATCAGAGCAAAAAATTTTAAAATACATTACTATAAAAGAAAAATTTAAATATAATTCTTTAGAGATAGTTTTTATTATTTTCTAAAAAGTTTTTTAATAAATGTATAATTTCTCCTATTTTCATATATATAAATTTCTTCTATTTTTATAGCTTAAATGATATTTAAATATATTTATTATATTTTTATTGAAAAATAATAAGAATTACACTTTAAGAATTGTACTTTTATCTTATTTTAAGTTATATGTTATAGACATAATTGCGTTTATCCTATTCTTTTAGTTTTTAACTAAATTTTAGAAAAATTGGTCAAAGACAAAAACTAAATTAAAAAAAAATGACAAATTTGTAAAAAAAAAAAAAACTAAATTTGAATTTATGATAAGAACTTTAGTCAGAGACAAGATATGGTAATTGTTAAGATTGTTTTTTAGTATTTTATTGTGGCACCAAATATTGAGGCAGAATATGACATATTTATCCTATTTTATTTTTATTGTATTCTTATGTT